TATGATTCTCAGTGTAAACAGCGATTATTTCCTGAAACAGCGTTAACCAGTTGTATTACGTAATGGTGAAGTGTAGTGTTTTCTTTTCGGTACGGACTGGTTTATTAAATAATATTTAGACGAGCTTCGGCTTCGAAGGGTTAATGCGGTGCGTTGCTGAGTGATCTGAAGCTCGGGAAGGTCTTGACGAGTCACAGCACCCCCGAGCTCCTCCCCCCATTTACTTTAATATGCAAGCCTTCGTGTATTTATCTTCTCGTAAACGTATTTCTGTGCAGAGCAAATACATTTAATTTCGCGGATTCCCCTTAGGTCAGTCGTATTTTGTCGCGAAAGGGGAAAATTTCTCTGTCGCTGAGATTATCCGTATGTCGCCATACTAACTGCTTTTCTTGCGGTAAATGTTTTCAATGCCGGCGTTATCACATTGAAAGCGACGTAGGTGATTTTCGATTTCAGTGCCTGGTAATCCTTGCAAGTAAAATGTGTGTGGTGCACTATTATTTTGGGTGTTAAATTTCAGTTTGAAATCAGTCCCTTGCAATTTTGCTAAGGATGGAAATCAGTTTAATAATTTCTTGTGAATGTCTTAGTGGTACAAGTGAACGCTTCAATTCGTAGTTAAAGAGTTTACATTCAAGCTTGTTGTTGATGAAGTTAATTTGAAAGTAGAATGTATTCCTTCTTGTATTTTGTCAAGCGTTTGACGCTTAATAAACTGAGCCCAAGTCGGTTTTAGATGTGTGTGTACATGGAATATTTATGATAATTTAATGCATTCTTGATATAATGAGGAATTTTGAGTATGTGTGTGGAATTTGGTTGTATTATTTTCAAATATTAGTGAGTTTCTGCTGTCTTATTTTAGCGAATAAATCTTGAATATATTATTTAGACAGAAATATGTTGGAAGTAGGATGTTTTAACTCCTTGAGATGTACGTGGTACTCGGACGGACTGCGCGTATGCCCAAACAGATTTCTTTGCAACTTTGCAGTGTCTTATCCATGCATTTATTTCAAGTACAGATCTACGAGGTGCGATCGGAAAGTTTCAAGACTGCGCGTATAAAAACCCGTACACTTATCTCAGGTATTAAATTCATCCATCACCCTCGAAGTAGTTCCCCTGGGAGTGAACACAACGATCCCAGCGCCGCTGCCAAGCCTGGAAGCATCCCTGGAAATCTTTCTTTGTCAGCCTGTCAAGCACCATCTGCGATTCTGCCTGAATCTCTTCTATCGTCTCACATCTCCTTCCCTTTAGCTGAATTTTCATCTTTGGGAAGAGGAAGAAGTCACACGGAGCTTAGGAAGGAAGTTGGGGTCGGTTCTTGCAAGATCTTTGAGCTCCTGACAAACGAGAAGTCGATTCTGCTTCTGGTCCTCAGACAGGAGCCTTTGCGTCGCATGTGGAGTTCTTCCTTTAGAATCAGCTGACAGGTCCCAACAATGTCGCACAAGTCGTTGATGGTACGACGTCGATCTTCGTGAATGGCCTGCCGAATCTTGGTAACATTTTCGGGCGTTGTGCTCGAAGATGGTCGTCCAGAACTCTCGTCATCATCGACAGAGGTTCGGTCATTTTTAAAACGTGAATGCCACACAAAAGTTTGCGGACTCCCCAAATGCTTGCTTTAGCATTTCATAGGTTTCCGTAGCCGTTTTGGCGAGTCTTTGGCCAAATTTGATGCACACGCCATTCCGAAATCGCAGGAGGGTCGGTGTAATGCACTACCAAAACGCCCGTAACTAAGAAACAAATGCTAATTCGATGATGCCGGCTGGCATACTGATTCACTATGAATGTAGGCCGCACCCCCTAGCGGCAGAAGCTCGTACTACATCCGGTTCGCCCGCTATTGACACAGTCTTGAAACTTTACGATCGCACCTCGTACACTGTGTTACGCCAGAAATGAAAAACCTAACCTAATTTTTGCAGGTCTTTCCCACGACTTCTCCCAGACACCGTACAATACAACCACGGAGGAGGACGACATTGTTCGCTTCATGTGCCAAATCGAATCTGTTCCGAAAGCTATGATTTCTTGGGAAAGAAATGGAAAACCTCTACCTCATAATAGCAGGTACTATATTTATACGCACATAATTGAAATCAATTTAAATTTTCCTTCATTTTACTAAGACTTTGAAGTTTTGACTACAATAGTTGTAACATTTAATAATTTGGGTGCACGGTTTTAATATTAATGTTGTTGATGATGATACTAATGTTTGTAGCATTTGTGACCATCGTAATGAACTGAAGGTCTGTCCAGGGTAATCTTTGGATGCTAAAAGAACTGTTGTCTTTGTATATAGACAGTGTTTTATTCCTTTAGTCTGGCTTTGTGTTGAATACACTGTAATGTGCACAGACATTTAACGAAAGTCTTTTGTAATGTTATGAGAGTGAACAAGATTGGAAAGATGTATTCTTGGAGTTGCTTAACATTCCATCTGCTATCATTAACTCATGTACTCACCAATTTATCATAATTTGTAGAAGCGACATGTTTACGGACACATTTAAGGCGTAGAAACGCAATTATTAGCTGTGGGTAGGATTTGAGATTCTCGTGGCAGTGAGTATAAAGATGACTGTCTTCTGGGTCGTAGCGCCCCGTGTTTCAGAGGTCCTTACTGCCTCCATCAGACTTGTAAAAAACATTGATAAACTTTGACCAGACCACACAGTGTTGCAGCCCAGAAGACGGCCATATTCTTTATAGTTATGTAGAGATCTCAATTCTGTAATCGTCGATAGACAACAGTGTGAACCGGAACATCGTCAGTCTTCTGATGAATGTAATGTCAAAAAGTTTGCATGGCCACTGATAGATGGCAGCATGGTAGTTATTATGGTAACATGGGCAATGACATTACTCATCGCAGAGGATCTCGGGTAATGGCATCATGTTGGACGATGATCCTCCCACCTTTCAACTTTGTGCATCTGTCACTTTGGTTTTATTGATCGTGGAAAATTAAAAAAATACTAGTCAGGAGTAGCCCCCAGTGGCTTATACACGTACCAGCTCTTTTTGAGTTAAGATATTTCAGAACTTGTCTGCAGGAAGATGGCTGTCTTCTGGGTTGTAGCAGAATTTACCAACGTTTTAGAGGCGCTTGTTGCCAACATCGTCATCGTCCTGATGATGGAGGTAGCTAGTGCCTATGAACCATCTGTAAATGTCTACGGGCCTACGCAGCAGTAAAACCCACAAGACAGCCATCTTTGCATTCACCGCTGTGAGGACGTCAAGGACCACGAGGACCACTGGTTGATGGAAGAACAGTCTCGGGGGAAAGATACAACAGACTGACTGAAGAGTCTCGCGGGGTGTTCGTCACTGTGACAAAATGCTAAAAACACTTCAAAAGTGAAGCAGAAGCTCTGCATATTGACAATTTGAATGTAATTAATTACATTTCACAGATTTAGCAAGCTTATGCATTTCTTTTGCGTGAAGAGGTAAACTGTTGTTGTGTTTCCAGGTATTTTACGTTAGACTCAGGAGTTCTCTACATAACCAAGGTGCAGCCTAGTGATGCAGGTACTTATAGGTAAGTGAAGCCCACTCACCCCTCTGTTTGTGGCTTAAAAGATGTTAGTCGTTGCGCAGAAACACCTGTTTGTTGCGTCAAAGACGCTCATTTCTTTCTGCAGTAAAACGCTGTTGCGCAGTGTGAAAATCCAGCATTTCGTAAACTGTGCCCCTGTCCTTGGGGATGGATGTCGAGCGACTTTCAAAGTATGATGCACTTTTTTGTTGTTGCAATTAATGGTAGTGCTGCAGCAACTATTACGGAGAATCAGAAAAATAAATAATGAAATAACCGTGCAATTTTGGCTTCATCTAAAAAGCTAAATGTGGGAATCTGTTTACAGAAGCAATGACGCGGAACTCTGAAGCACGCTTTCCACTGAAGTGTAAAAGTGTAGGTAAAATAAAGAATGGCTGGATTACACAAGGTATAAAAATGATTTGCAAAAGTAAAAGGAGTATATAAATTGGCAGTGGGTACAGTAATGTTGCAGAAATAAAAGCTTCGTTGTAAATATTGTCAAATCCTAAAGGAAGTCGTAAGCTGGAAAACAAACAACTTTATAGTAGACTTATAGCAATGTCAAATAGTACAATAAAAACAACATGGAAGATAGCGAAAGGGAGAGTCGGCAAAAATACATCTACCAGAACAGATGCCCCGTCTTGTAAATGGAGAAAAGTCGAGGATCCAGGAAAATTTTGCTGATGCATTTGATGGTTCTCATCAAGCAGGGGAGAGAAAAGGTGCATTGTCATTTTGAAAGGGTTTTCATTCCCAAAAAAATTCCTGCAGCGAAACTGAATCCACCCAAAGAAAAACTAAAATAAAAACACTTCAGGTTATGGTAAATTAGCAGATAATATTCAGGTATTTTTCCTGGCCATGTTAAAATTTCATTGATAAAATCACTGTGTAAAAGTGGTCTCGCTATCAACTGCTTTCTCTGAAGTGTTAGAGAAAGTTAAGTACAGTAGGTTAAGCCACTGTATGCATACTGAACAGGGTTAAGTACAATAAGTTAAGCCACTGTATGCATACTGAACAGATTAGCATTAGGAAAGGTAACCGAGAACGTATTAAAAGCTATTAACCAAAAATGCATTTTGGCAGAATATTTTGGGGATATGGGAAAAACATTTTTGAGTGCATAAATCATGAGGTTTGGTTGGCTGAATTACATTTTTATGCCATTCTAGGAACTGCCGGAAACTGGTTTAGATTTTATGTTGCGAACGGGGAATAAAAAGTGGAAATAAAACCGTCTAGTACAACCGCAGATTTCTTCTGCGATTGGGGAACAGTGACGATGGAGTTATCCGAGGGTCAGTGGCGTTTAATGTTTATAATTAACATAAATGACACTTCTTCAAAAATAATAACCTTGTTAGAATTCATAATATTTGCAGAAACACTAGTGTCATAATTTCTTATATAAATTTTGATATTTTTATGTACATTGAAAAATTCAGTTCTTTATCGTATGACTAAATAAACAAAAATAATAAAGTTTGTAACAAATAATTTATGACAATCTGCACGAAGTATAAGATGTAATGGAAAATTAATATAAAAAGCAGCGAATATAAAACATTTTGTTTTAGAAATTAATAACCACCTAAATTGGAAGGATCAGGTTGGTCAAATCATTCCGAAGTTAAGTGAGGCTTGTTATGCGGGTTTGACGTCAGTGTTTCGTGTTGTCAGTATCGACACGCTAAAATCAGTCTACTTTGCCTGCTCTCACTCTGTAATGAAGCATGGAATAATTTTTTAGGGCAACTCGTCTAACAGTGAAGGGATGTTTACTTTTTAAAAGAAAATTATTAGAATTATGATAACTTCAATTAGATGTCTATTTAGGAAACTAGAAATCTTACTTCTTCCTTGTGAACATTTTCATTAATGAACGTCATGTAAATAACCTAGAATCTTTTCAAACAAATTCAACTGTGAATGGTATAAGAACCATCTTCATACACCAAGTGCCAACATTTCATGTCTTCAGAAAAGTGCTGGCATCAAAATATTCAACAGCCTTCCATCTAGTCTCAGAACTACTTGAGTGGAAAGGAAAAGTTTAAAGTCGCTTTAAAAGGATACATAAATTTGCGCACCTTTTATTCTGTTGATGAATTTACCACTTTAAAGAACACTCATAATCATTTTTGGGGTCATTTATCTAACGTCAAGTGTAGATGATCCCAGGTTGGGACATTCAGTTGGAGCTTGTATTCCACTTATATATTTACATGCAACATATGAAAACATACACTATCAGAAACCTGGTACAAAATTAAGTTTCAGCTGTATGATGTACTGGTAAATAAACTGTGGCTCCTTTAAACTAAGAGATGCATTTATTCCACACGCTGTCGTTACAGTTAATTGTTTTCTTGATTGTAGATGCCTGGCATGTACGCTGGTTTTACCTGTTCTCTTCTCACTTTCATTTTTTTTTAAAAAAAAATCCCTTCTTCAAGCATGTATTCTGCTCTTTCTTCATCACGCACCAAGCACTGCATTGCTTGACGCACCGAACACAACCAGCCAGTTGGCTCGCTCATTTACATCTGACTCGTCGCTGCTAACTCACCTCCGTTCAGAGGCCCGTGGCACTGTTTGAGAGTTCTGTGGATAAATCCACATGCTTCTAAATGTTTCCAGCACCATGCATTGGCTACTTGAGGCTGATGCTGGGGCAACGTGTGCGCAGCTTCCCCCCGGTGATTTCGTCATTCGGCCAGCTGGCTGCTTAGTGCGCAAAGGAAATTATTTTGGCTTTTATTTTATGCAGTTATCACATCAAACCACTTCTGGAAGTTGTTACTGTAAGATCTGTTTTTGTCCGCTTAGGATTAATCGTTTCACTAACTAATCTTCTAGCGTTGGTTGTCGGAAAGACACGTTGTGTTGCTGCAGCACTCCATCTAAATCTCTGTTGTTGTTGTTATTATCATATGTTATTCATGGTCAGCGATTTGTTTCATTGCTGCCTCTGTAGAAATTGAAGACTTTATACCAGGAATTATTTTAAGTAGGAACACTTACGTATGTGTTCAACAGCAATTTTGCAATTTTTATGCCAACATTGAAGTATGTAGGCATTTATGAAACAGGAGTTTCCTAAACTGCCTGCAGTTTTTGTGTATTTTTTTCTCTGAATGTATTCTAAGAATCGTGTCAGTATTTTTAATGCTGGAAGGTCTCGATGGATTGATTGGAGAGATCTTGTTTGTATGATTCTTAAATGAACTGTTTTACCACAGGTATTGGTGTATATTAAGAAGCAGTTTTGCAAGGTTACAGCATTCTGTAATATTATCCCCTTCTGCTTTCAGTTAATATATCGTTGAGGGCGGATCATATCACTAGGGTCTAATACTTTTTGGTTTTAAATATCATAATATTGTACAGGTGTCTCAGTGTTCAGTACAAGGTGAGTTCTGTTGAACGTGGAATGGAATGATTAATTTTTTAATTTTTTCTTTTGCTTTGGCAGGTGTATGGCCACAAACTTGCTCACAAAAAAATCCAGGTACAGCTCAGAGGGCCTGCTGGAAGTTTTACCCAGATCTCAGAATCCTCGCTCGCCTCAGTTCATATCAGTGACTAGTAGAACGGTAGAGGCACGAACGGGTGGAAATGTGTCTTTGGATTGTGCAGCTAGAGGCTCGCCGATTCCAGAGCTGACTTGGACATTCTTGCCACACATTCCACGCAGCAAACTACGTCCGGTAACTAATGCGAGCCAGAATGGAGTGAATGTGTTGACGTTGCATCAGGTCACCCCTGAACAGACTGGAACCTATACCTGCACAGCTGCAAGTGCTGGAACCGACAAACAAACTACCCCAGCCACACAGGTGAGCAGCCCGGCAGCATTGCGTGTTCACGTGGAGAGGGGGCGTGAGTGCACGTGTACACCCCACGCAACAAAAATCAACCACTTGCAATTTTTAAGTCTGAAGCTGAAAGTGACGTAAGCAAACAGCTGATGGCAAAATACCGATCATTTTTAATCTCCTTGTATTTGTCCATACATGGTTTTTCTGTTATTTATTTTTGTAGTGTTCTGTCTGACGACAGGTCCATAT